CCTAAGTAAAACCCTGCTTTTTCCTGGGCCCTTGAACCAAGGGATTTGAGACTAGAAGTCCCTCTCCCGTGGAATTTTTATTCCATTTCTTCTTTTTTGGTGGGTGTATGGAGATTAGGCTGAGAAATGCACCCTGGGTGGGCTTGGGGGAAAGAGACTGTGTTTTCTGTTCTAGAACCTCTGGTGTGTCTTGTTCCATGGCCTGTGTAAAATGGGGTTCTAGTGATGGGACGTTGGATGCCACTGAAGAGTAGGGATCTGAAGAAATGTAGAACTCATGCTTTAAGTTATTTTTAGTCTAAAATTTAACAACATTTATGCCTCGGTGGATGATGTTCTTGTTGTTGTTCCTAAGGACTTCATTCTTGTGGTTGCTTTTTGAAAGTTAAGACAAGGCCTCAGATCCACCGTCTAGAATTAGTGGGCTGTACAGGTTGGAGACTCAGGGTCCTCGTCTCCTTTCAGAGTCATCACTGGTGTGGGTCTTTCTAGCTGGCTGCTGTTGTGTATGTAATTTGGAGATCTATAAGATCACAGGGGTTAACCAAAACTACTTATAATAAAAATTAAAAATATCTTATGTAAAGTTATCCGCAGGATATCAAGCTTATATGATAATGTTAGTCGCTGTTATTTTTCACACCTATTACCAGATATTTACATACAGTATCTCATTTAACACTAACCTTGTGAGATTCGGAGAGGCTGAGTAGCTCCCTCTAGCTTTATGCAGCCATGTGAGGGGAATTGGTAGGATTTTAAATCTAATTATGTGTGACTCTGAAGCCCCTGCTGCATATACCTGTCATCTGCACATGATGATGGAGAAAAGCAGAGGGAACCGTTTGCCTTACTTGGGCCTTTCCTGTTCTGTCCTCGAGCAGGTCTTGGGCCCTGTGTAATGCTATCAGTGGAACATGGCAAACTGGGTGCTGCACTGCATTTTTGAGTAAATAATGAGATTGATTTTACCGCTTCCCATGAAAGAGGACGGTCTGATTCGTAGCTACTGCAGGAGGAGACCCGTGCTCTAGTGGAGGAGACCCGTGCTCTAGTTGTCCTCCACACCCTCCTCCCCAGCCCACACCGCTGCTCCTGCAGTTCCCTCGTGTGCATCCACACGGCTTCCCATCCAGGGCCAGCTTCAGAAGAGCAGAAGGCAGTCCTGGCGACGTCTCAGTGGAATAAATGGGCTCTGTGAAGTACATTGCCACACTCCATCCTGCCCTCGGATATTTCCCACCAACCAAAGACCCCACCCCACTTGTCCCTGTTGTATCATAGGTTTAGGTGTTTCATCTCCAAAAGATGTCAGTTAAAATAGAACATCCTAAATAACACATGAAACCACCAGTACCCACTAGCACATTCACATAGATTAGTTCATCTTCTTAGAAATCAGGAATTAGAGCCATGAAGTAATGGGATAGAGAAATAGAAAGTGTTTCTTGGAGAGGGCAGTGGACAACCTTGAATAACCAGAGGGCAGTACCAGGGTAAGGGGCACATTTAGGGAGAAAGTAGGAGGGACAAAAAGCCAAATAAAAATATCCTCGCACTCGCACCTCCAAATTATTAAGCAGGTATTCATGTTTCTTCCCCGCTCTTGGCCCTTCCTTTGAAGGGCTACAGTACTATCTATCTAGCCCCGGCCTGGCCAGACCTATCTCTGAGAAACCTTGGCTTTCTCCCACCTCAGCACCTCCTTACATTTGTAAGTTCAGTCATCAGTTGGTGCTGTCTGAGCCCCACACCATGTCCCCACACTAGGGGTGCCAAGATGTCTGAAGAGAAGTGTATGGAGATGCTCTGTGAAGGTCATTGGTTTTTTTTTTAAGTTAGGAAAACTTTGCACAAATGTAAAACTTCTAAAATGCAAATAATTTATTTCTCAGTTTAGAAATAGAGATTAACATTTGGTATCTGAAATATTCCCTTTATCCCACTGTGTCATTTATTTTTGCAGAGTCCCATTTTTTTTGTTTTGGTTTGGTTTGTTTTTCTGGTGGCTGGCTGGTACAGGGATAGAACCCTGGACCTTGGTGTTATCAGCACCATGCTGTAACCAACTAAGCTAACTGACCAGCCCTCTTTTTGTTTTTAAGTCATTAGCTATGTAAGTTCAACCCCCTCAAATGGGAGAACTTATATTTTAATTAGAAAATATCACATATTTTGGAAATATGCCAAGTTATTTTTTAAATAACTTTAACAGTGACAGTAGATTTGAACTTGTGGTGGCATTTAATAATTTCAAGCCAGATTTTAAGGAAGTACTATTACCAGCCTCATAGTAGTTAGGCCCTATTTATGTAGGGAAAGCAGTTGATACTTAAAATAATCATCTACCATGGAGTATA